CAAAAATTTGGGAGTCGTTCTTGATTCTTCCCTTTCCTTTATCTCCCATTTCCAGTTCGTCAACAATCCCTAGTTATTCTTTCTTCACAATATATCATGGATTTTCCAACTTCTCTCTCAGTTACCACTTTTTCCAGACTGTCATCAACTCCACTTCAATGGTTGCGATAGTCTCCTGGTCTCTCCACTGGGAGGGGGGAATGAAAATGGTCTGATGCTCTACTGATCAGTAAGAACAGGACTAACACCCAACAGAGCAACGGGCTAAGGCTGCAGACAGTTCACAGAAAAAGAAATACAAATGCTTTGAAACTTGAAAAAGAAGTTCAGCCTCCTCATAAGAGCAATACACAGTTAAATGACAATGAAATGCCAGTTTTCATCTACAAATTGACACTTGTATCCATTGTTGTTAGGATTTTAAATCACCACAAATATCTTTCAAGGGCCATCGGGTAGAATCCATCAAATAAAAATGTGCGTATCTGTTGGCCCCATGCGTGCAAAGAAGTAGGAGCACATTTTACTGTTGTTTGTTATAAGAAAAGAGTAGAAACAACTAAATATCCATCATTAAGAAGCTAATTAATATGTTACGGTAACAGGCAGATGAGGACAGTGTGGCTGGTGTCTGGGCCTGCATGCGTTCCTCTTTTCACACAGCTTTTTGTTTCCTTAGATCTCAGCTAAAACACCACCTTGCCTAAGCGAGAGGCCTTCTCTGAATGACCATTCTCTCTAAAGTAGGTCCCCTCTTTCTTCTTTCACTTGCCATAAAAAACTTGCAGTTGTTTTGTTAGTTAACTTGTATTTTTGGCTCCCTCTTCTTTATTATTTTTTAAAGATTTTAAATAGATTTTTAGAGAGCAGAAAGGAGAGTGGGGGAGAGAGAATCATCAATGTGAGAGCAAAATATCCATCAGCTGCCTCTTGCACGCCCCCTACTGGGGATTGAGCCTGAAACCTGGGCATGTGCCCTAACCAGGACTGGACAGCGCCCAGGCACCTGAGCCACACAGGCCAGGGCTCCCTCTCCCTTCAGAGTGGAAGCTCTGCAAGGGCAGTCTGCCTGTGTTTTCTCACTGTCTTATCCCAGCACTGAGTGTGGCTTTTGGCACTTGTATTGATTGAACGAATGTCTAAAAAAATGATTGCCTGTTGACTCTCAAATAAAAGTTTACATATTCTTACTGGTAAAACATTAAAAACATCTCATTAAAGGATATAAAGTACAAAATAGAGAACATAATTAATCATATTGTAATTAACTATGCATGGTGTCAGATGGGTACTAGACATATCAAGTTGATCACTTCCATAAATTACATAAATGTCTAATCTCTCTCTTTCTCTGTCTCTCTTTCCCCTCTCTCTTCTCTCTCTCGGGATGATACTCAACCAACTGAGCCACTCCAGCCAGGCTAGGATAACTTTTTAATTTTAAAAAATTTGCAAGAATAGTATATGTCCTTTATTCAAATTTACCTCTTTTTAACATTTTGCTGTATTTGACTTACCTGTTTTTCTAATTATATTTATCTCTGTGTATAATCCTTTTTGTTCTGAAACATTTAAGAGTGAATTGAAGCCATTGCGTCCCTTGATACCCAAATACTTCAGTGTATATTTTCTTTTTCTTTTTCCTCACCCAAGGAAATTTTTCTACTACTTATCAGATAGAGTGGGAGGGAGGGGGAGAGAGAGACAGAAAGAAACATCAATGTAATAGAGTCACATTGAGTAGTTGCCTCCCACATGATCAACCAGGGCTGGGGACGAACCACAACTGAGGTACGTACTCTTGACCGGAATCGAACCTGCGACTCATTGGTCCGCGGGCTGACGCTCTAACCGCTGAGCCAAAATGGCCAGAGCTTCAGTGTATATTTCCTAAAAACAACTATTTGCTATATAGCCAATTATCAAAGTCAGGAAACTTACCAGGAGTCTAAGACTATAATCTGTCCATATTCAGATTGTATCTATTGCCCCAGCCATGTCCTATATAACACCTTTTTCTCCCAGGTCAGCATCAAACTGAGGCCCACCTTCAGAAGTTAGTTGTCAAGTCTGCTTTTTTTTTTAAATTCTCACCCGAGGACATTTTTTGCATTTATCTTCAGATAGAGCGGGAGGGAGAGAGGGGGAAAGAGAGAGAAACATCGATGCGACAGAGACACATCAACTGGTTGCCACCCACACGACCCCAACTGGGGCCGGGGACAAACTGCAACCAAGGTACATGCCCTAAGCAGACACCGAACCCAGGTCTCTCCTGTCTGCAGGCCGACTCTAACTGCTGAGCCAAACAGACCAGGGCAGTTGTCAAGTCTCTTAATCACCTTTAATCTAGAAAAAAATTTCCTCAGTCTTGGGATTTCTTGACCTTTAGATTTTGAAAGAGTATCAATTTGTTCCTTCGTAAAATGGACCCAATTGTATTTGTCTGATGTTTCCTCATGATTACATTATTATAAATTTTGGGCAGGAATCCTATAGAAGCAGTAATGTGTTCTCCATATCATAGCAGGAGGTATATGAATTTGGTTTATCTCCATATTGTGGCGATAGATTTGACCACTTGGTTTAGATGGTGTTTGTCAGGTTTCTCATGTAGTGTTATTATTTTTCTCCTTGTAATTAAAAAGTAATCTGTGGAATGATGCTTTGAAACTAAATATCTTGTTTCTTATCAAATTTTTACTCCCTAGTTTTAGCTTCCATTGATGATTTTCTAACTCCACCATTATTCTTCTGTAAGTTGCATCCTACTATAAGAAGAGATTTCTTTTTTCATTTGCTTGTTTATATTTGAGTCATTGATTCTTTTAACACATCTAGTGAGTTATGACACATTATTATATGAAAGACTTTGTAACCTAATTGATTCTTTTTTTTTTCATTCCTCACTCGAGGATATTTTTCTGTTTATCATTAGATAGAGTGGGAGGGAGGGAGGGAGAGACAGAGAGAAACATCGATGTGATAGAGCCATATTGACTGGTTGCCTCCTGCACAACCCTACCAGGGTTGGCGATGAACCACAACCGAGGTACATGCCCTTGACTGGAATCGAACCCGTGACTCATTGGTCTGCAGGCCGATGCTCAACCGCTGAGCCAAACCAGCCAGAGCTAACCTCATTGAATCTGGCATTGTGAGTGTGATCCTACGGAATTCCTCTACCTTCAGTTCTTTTCTTCCCAAATCTTTAGTTAAGCCATCTTATGTACTTTTTGTTACCAAACTCTCATGGGTGGTGTTATGGTGTGTTCATAGGCTGATGACATGGGGAACCGTTGTTGGTGCAGAAAGGAGGGTGAAGGAGCCGGAGCACTGTTCTTGAGCGCGTGAGCGCCTCGTCATCAGGTGCACACAGGGACAGACTGACTGAGGTGGGACTGAGACCGACACCCCCTGTGTCCAGGGGGTTGAGGAAATGTCATTGAGTTAGGTACAGTAAACAGAGAAGCAAGTAAAAAGCAAGGGGGCCACCAGCACATCAGCTTTCTTTTTCTGCTTTTCTTTAACTGCCTTTTCTCTTTGCTTCTAGCTTCTGTGGATTTTCATTTCTTTGACCTTCCTGTTTGTTTGTAAGATTAACATTTCTATGCTTTAGAGGGGGTGGTGATGATGCTGTCCTTTGAGTCAGTCCAGTATTATATTGTTGGGAGAGAGAAATTAAAAATAGATCCTTTGAAAGATTTTGAGCCCTGGCCAGTTTGGCTCAGTGGTTAGAGCGCTGGCCTGCAGACCAGAGTCCTGGGTTTGGTTCCCACTAAGGGCACGTACCTTGGTTGTAGTTTGTGCCCCACCCCAAATGGCCGTGTGGGTGGCAACCACTCCATGTGTCCCTCTCACATCGATGTTTCTCTGTCTCTCTTACTCCCTCTCTCCCTCCTGCTCTATCTGAAGACAAATGCAAAAATGTTCTCAGGTGAGGATTTAGGAAAAAAAGATTTTGAGAAGGCTTGGTTAAGTTAGAGGAAAAGAAATTATACAGAGAGATTTTAATATCAGTATATACAGTATATGCTAAATGGTAACTATTTGGATGTTTAGATACACAGATTCTCTAGCCTTTTAATTATTTAAGTCTCAAAGTAAATTAAAAGGTGGAAGGACTCATCTGAGTAAATAAGTGTAGTTGAAAATAAAGGTGGGGATGTTAGTTTAAACTTTATTTCCTTGGAATAGAAAACATATTTACGTTTTTTTCCTATGTATAAAAGAAATTCATCTTTGTTGCGAAATATTCAAACAGTACAGAAATGTATAAAGTGAAGTCCTCTTTTTAAGCACTGTGTGCCAGCTGATCCCACCTTTCAGACAGAACCACAGTTAATACTTTGTGATACTTTCCAGATTTTTCTGTGTGTATTTGATCCGTGTTTGCTTCTAAATTAGCTGTTTGATCTATTTTCAACAGAAAACTAAATAAAAACTGCAGGCAACATTGCTTTCCAAATCTAATCAAATATACAAGTTCAAGGGCTTTATAATTACATGAAATTTAAATCGTACGGATTAGAACAGTCTGTCTCACACTGAGTTCTTATGAAGGGCAAGACTCGAAACTGAGCTTCGTTTCAGAGTTAAGCATTTCTTTGATAATGAAATGTCAGTCTCAGCTGTGGACTTGTGTTTTCATGACCACCGAGCAGGAAGTACAATGCAGTTTTAAAGATTGTTTGACTTGCTCTGGCTGGTTTGGTTCATGGGTTCATTTCCAGTCAAAGGCACGTACCTGGGTTGCAGGTCCGATCCCCGGCCCCAGTCAGGGGTCATGCAGGAGGCAACCAGTTGATGTGGCTCCCTCACATCAACATTTCTCTCTCCCTTCCACTCTCTAAAAATCAGTCAATGGAAGAAGATCCTCAGGTGTGAGAATTAACAAAAAATAAATGTTTTATAGATTAAAATGTAAAAAAAAAAGATTGTTTGACTTATTTGATGAAATATGGATTTCTACTTAGCACATCTTTTGGGTACTTTTGTAGGAGAATGAGGTATTAAGAGCTACAGGTCACAATTCCCAGCAGGAGGGAAATGACCAGAGAGTGTCAGCCCAGAAGGACAAATCACTACAGCAGAAGAATGAAGAAGAAAATAAATTAGCAGATAAACCTGAGTGGGAGGCAGAAAAGACCACTGACTCTAGAAATGAGGTAAGCATGTCAGAATATCCCAGCCTTACCACTTTGGCTTCGAAGTAGGTTTTGTAAGGCATTGTCAGTTTGTACTGAGAATGAATTTTGTATGTTAAATACAAAACTGGAAACAAATCTGATATATGAAAAATACATTTTTTTAAATTGTGGGAGTGGTTATTTGATTTACAGAGGAATCAGCCCATAGACTTAGTTATCCCTGATTAGACTCAAGGTCGTGTGTGTGAGTACACGCATACCCCTGCAGGAACTTGCTGGCAGGTTTTGCTGTGTTTGCCACGGCCAGGGACAGAGATGGCTGCCTCCTGCATCCAGGAAGCCTCAGCAGCCACCTGCAGGCAAACCCACTCAATTCCCGCTGGGGCCTGGGCTCTGATCCGCACTCTGTCCTGCTGGGCCGTGCTCCCTGGGCAGCCAGGAGCTGGTTTTGTACCTCTGACCAAGACTAAAGCCAGACCCGGTGGGGCAGCCTGCTTGACGCCTTGTCTCACCACGCTCTCCAGAGCTCGTGGGCAGTGGAAAGGGGAGGGTGAACGCAGGAGCCAGGCGGACAGGGCGGGTCCTGCCTGCGGCCTGCGCTTCCCGCTGCGTTCACTTGGGCCGCACTCTGGTTTTTACTCAGCCCGGCAAGCAAACGCCCCAAAGGGCATGGAGAGGCCAGACTTCAAACTACTCACTACACCTGAAAGGTGCGACCTTGAGGGCCTTGTCTTAATGGTTTTTTCAGCCATAACTGCCCCAGGTGGAGTTTGGGGCTGGGCCTTCAACACCTCTGGAAGATGGAGGGTACCATGCCTTGGCCTTTGTCAGACAGTCCATCACTGTCTCCTTGACCATGTGACATTACATCAAACATTACATGCTTGTGTAGTGAAATCAGAAATAGCTTTGCCCACCCACCATTCCCACCCCTCTCGCCTGTTCTGTGCTGTTCTAGAAGAGCAGGTTCTTTCCTCCACCGGAAGTGAAATCCGGGGCAGGCCCCATGACTTCTAGATAATAAAAATCTCTGGTCACCGCACTGCAGCAGTTCGTCAATAATACAATCTGATGTACTTTTCAACAACTCTGAATGAATGGAAACTCAGTTTCTCCCCTCTGGACTCATCTACTACAGCCTCAAAGCCTGGCCAAGGAGGGAAGTGTGTGTCCCTTTCCCCAGTTCCTCCTCCCCTGCTCACCAAGCTGCCTTCTGCAGTGTGGTGGGGTAACGGCTCAGGAGAGGTGCTGTTTGACTGGTGCCATCTGACACTGGTTTCTCTTGATCGTAGGATATATATAAAAAAATTTTTCTTTGTTGAATTTAGAGAGAGAGGAATGGAAAGAGAGAGAAACATCGATGAGAGAGAACATCGACCGGCCTCCTCCTGCACGCCCCTCACTGGGGATTTGGCCCACAACCTGGGCCTGTGGCCTGACTGGGAATCCAACCAGTGACCTCTTGGTGCATGGGTGGACACTCAGCCACCGAGCCACGCCAGCTGGGCGACCATAGGGTATATTTGAAACTGTTTGTTGGGTGGGCACTTTCACTCCCGAGGCTCTTTGGAGACCCTACTCCCACACTGGGAGTCCTCCTCCTGCCCTTCTCTGTACAGGCACGAATGCATCTCCCACCTCCAGGTGGCCGTGAGGAGCCCTTTGTGAATTTTCGGTGGCACACACCTTACCTCTCCAGCAGCTGGTCCTGAAACATCCCTTCATGCCCTCTGTCGTCCCATCCCTTCCCTAACAGCAGCCCTTGCTCAGCCTCTTGCCCGTCACGTTTCTCAGGCAGGCTCTGGACACTGTCTGCTGTGTTTCCCAAACTGCAGGGAACACGCACACGTTTCTCTGTGGTCTCTCAGAGCCCCCTTTTGCCCCTCTCAAGGGACGAGGGGTGGGGAACTCACCCCAAGGAACCCTCCCATTGTCACTCGCTAACCCCAGGCCCTTTTGTAACCTTCATTTGAGTGAGGGCCCCATTGCAGGCTTGCAGTCACTTTGAGGTGCAGAGAGGTTTCCTCCTGCCTGTGCGTTTACCTACTGGCCTTCTCCCCAGGCCTGTCTTTTCTGATCATTTATGTACCCTTGGTATGGCTTTACCCTGCACCACACACACACGCCCCAGTGTTGTCACATCAATGCCAACGAACTTTTATGTTACAAAATACTGAAAAACATTTATTTGGAAGGAGACATTTCAGGCTTTTCCGAGTGCGTCACAGCTGTCTTGTTTGAGGGAGATGTTTTTATCAGTATCACTTAATTGTTCTATAGATATATGCTGTTTCTTCATCTTTCTCCTGGGTTTGCCTTTGCCCTTATTCCCTCACTGAGCTTCCAAGAAGAGCGGGAACTGTGTTTTCTACTTTGAATTACCTGAAGTAACTGTTAGATACATACTCATTACATGCTAATGGATTGGCAAAGTGGGGAGCTGCCTTAGAGATTTAAAGTACAAGTTAAATTAGGGCAAATATCAGTTTGGACAGAACTTTCCAGAAATACATCAGTCACTCAAAGCAAGGCATTTGCACCTCCCTGTGCCTGGTCTTACATCTTGTTTAGTTAGCATCAGTTTACTCTTTTACTGAGATGTTACTTAGTAGGTGTCGTACAGTTTGTTGAAGTAGGGTTTTTCCATTTTACAGGTGACAGTTCTGGGTGATAACTAGGACAAATGACATGATTTGCTGCTTAATAGTGACTTCTTTCTAGCCCCATTGCAAGCCCAGACTTAGACTGCTGGCTATTAATGAAGGATAAATACAGGACACTGTATATAGGTCAGCCGATCTGAAGAGATTTAAGTCTTAGTTAAATGTGTCCCCACTATATTCTTTGAATAGTCCTAGTGATTTCTGTTCAAAATGCAATGAAATCTTGACCCAAAAGAGAACTGTTTGTATTTCATGTTAAGATTTCAACGAGTCTGACTTAAGAAAAAAGAAGACTGACCACGTCCTGGCGATCCAAATCAAACTCTTAAATGTGGACTACGTCTTTTGGATTAGCTGAGGTGTCCATTCTTGTGCGAGATCTGTACTCACTTGAACAGAAAAAATTAAGCAATTAGATTTAGAAATGGATTAACCAATTTCCATGATAATAAATTTCAAAAATTTTCTAGTATAATTTTTTTTTTTAAATCCTCACCTGAGTACATTTTTTCGCTCTTTGTTCAGATAGAGTGGGAGGGAGAGAGAGGAAGAGAGAGAGAGAAATATCGACGTGAAAGGGACACATCCAGTGGCTGCCACCCGCACGACCCAACTAGGGCCAGGGACAAACTGCAACCGAAGTACATGCCCTTAGCGGGAACCGAACCCGGGTCTCTCCGGCCCGCAGGCCAACGCTCTAACCGCTGAGCCAAACCGGCCAGGGCTTGTATAATTCCAGAGGGGCTGGATCAGTAGGGTTTAACCCCTCAGCTCCCCACCTTCAGGGGCATTGAAGAAGAGGGAACAGGCAAAGATTCAATGAAACACATTTTGTTCTATCTAGCCTGGAGGAATCAGTCAGTCCGTAATTCATCTTAAGCAGAATGATCCTCCATGCCCTATTTCTGCACTCTAAATATCGAGGCTTTCTTTTCTGCAAATAATGTTACTTGCCCACCATTAAGGATTGTTTTTGCAGGAGTCCAGATTTGTGCTGATGTTATTCATTCTCACACACTTGTGACCGCCAGCAAATTTTGGTAAATGGTTGGCCAGGACTAAGCAAGTTTGGGGTTATTAACAGGAGTAAAAGAACACTTATGAAATTTCTTCAGAAATTAGGTATCATCTCAAATAATTCAATTGGCAAAGAAGTCCACCATACACTAAGAATGCATAATTTGCCAGTTCAAAAAGAGCAAGAAATCTTTTCCACCAATTTAGCACCCATATAAAGAGACACCGAAAGCCGTATATTCCTTGCATTACAATGAAATCGCTTGAAAACCTGACTACATAGAACCAGGATGTTGGTGGAAAAGGAAAGTGGGTATTTGTACACACACACCACACAGTCCAGCTGGTCTAAATCTTCAGAACAGGAAAAACCCTAAAGAGCTAGGGGTGAGAACGATGCACACAGCACAAGTCAGGAATGTGAGCTTATGAACCTGTAATGAGTCCCCATGACACCAAAAGCAGTAATCCTGGGAAAAACATAATGGGCAATATTTTTAGTGCATAGTGGAACTCAAAAGCAAGGAGTCTACAGAAAAAAGAAACAGAGAAGGAACTCAGCCCACCATTTAAAATAATCAGGTGCCAAACTGAGGAAACTCAAGGAGGAATTGGATCCCAATGTCATGACAGACTGGGGTTAAATGGAGGGGAAATGAGATGTTGAGCCCATTTCTGGGGCACCCGAGTTCCCTGCTTAAAGGCTCTTTGGTTGGGGAAATAGGGACTAGGATTAATTCTAGCCACCAAATAGGGGACAGCAAGGAAGCTGTCTGCCTACCCTTCAGAAAACAGAACCCCAGATGGGCCCCCCAAAGCCAGCTATACAGTCTGATTCACACCATCAGCATCAGGAATCCTGAGCCAAGGAAGCAAAGCTGAGCAAATGATATAAAAACTGGTCCTTACAGAGAAAAACACAAAACTGCCTTTTAGTTAGTCGGCAGCCCTTGATATGTGGGATCCCTCCAGAAATAGCTCTCCACAAAGATGAGCTCTCTGATAGTCCCTGGAGAGATTAGAAAGCATGAAGGAGAAGTAGGTTAGAAATTTATGGCAAAATATTTCCAAAATTAAAATGATCTTTTGACTCAGATTCAAGGAATCGAGTTTCAAGCAGACTAAATACAAAGTCCCAAACATATCAAAGTGAAATGGCAGGACAACCAAGAATAAGAAAACAGAATCTTTAAAATTATCTAAGGAAAAAAAGATTGGTTATAAAATGACAGGTTGCAAACAAATCAATAGTAATAAATGCCATAGTTCAAAATACTGAGGGAAAACCTTAAACCTGATCATTGTACCATTAAGTTATCATTTAAACATGAAGGCCAAATAAGTCCAGGTTATAAATACTAACATTTTACTACTTGAGGAGCCTCTAAAACAAGTTATCCAAGGAGTTATTTCAGCAAGAAAGAAACTAAACCTTGAAGGTAGGAGATGACCCAAGGGTGAGTCAAGTTGGTAAAACGCTTTGGTGCATCTAAATATGTATTTGACTGTCAAGTTTAATAATTTTGTAGCAAATTTGAAGGGGCAAAATAAGGTGTAACTAAGAATTCTAGCCAAAAATCATATGAAGATGGTTACGACAGGAATAGGGGAGGAGTTTGGAGTTGAAGGTTCTTATTTAAGAAAGGATGCACCTTTTGTGTTTCTCAACAGAGACATCTAAATGGGACTGACACATCTTTCTCTCTGGAAGAATTACTTCAGTTGCTTTCGTCACAGCCTGAAAATTCACTGCAGGTAAAGTAAACCTTGGCTTTTATTGCAGGAAAATATCTGCACTGACCTCTTCATGAATAAATATAACCTTTAGCCCGGCCAGTGTGGCTCAGTGGTTCAGCATTGACCCATGCACCAAGAGGTCGCAGGTTCAGTTCCCAGTCAGGGCACATGCCCAGGTTGTGGGCCTGATCCCCAGTGGGGGACATGCAGGAGGCCGCTAATCGATGTTCTTTCTTGTCGATGTTTCTCTCGCTCTCTCCCTGGATGGCATATTTTAAAAAATATAACCTAATGCATTATTTAAGCACACAGACTTAGGGTTACTTTTTATAGAAACACTTCAACGTTGGAGAATTAGTCAAATATGTATATATTAGTCCTCCAAGTAATAATCACAAAGGTCTAATCAAATTTGTATAATTCATGTTGAATCTAAATGACAGTAAACATTGACAAACTATAAGCATAGCTTTATTTTTCTGGTACCATTTGTCTTCATTATACTTTATTGGTCTAATATTGTTTCATTAAAAGCACTCCCCCCCACCCCCAACCAATACTATAATACTGTTACTGTTATTGTCCATAACCCTCCACAGTGTGGATTTAGATTGCCAACAGCTAGGATGAGAGTTGCATTTTTTCTTTTTTTTTAAATCCTCACCTGAGGCTATTTTTCCATTGATTTTCAGATAGACTGGGAGGGAGGGAGGGAGGGAGGGAGGGAGGGAGGGGAGAGAAACATTGATGTGAGAGACACACATTGATTAGTTGCTTCCTCACAACCCCAACCAGGGCGGGGAATCAAACCACAACCAAGGTGCTTGCTCTTGGCAGGAATCAAACCCGAGATTCTGGTCCACAGGCCAACGATCTAACCACTGAGCCAGACCGGCTGGGGCCAGAATTGCATCTTATAAAGTGGTAAATACAGTAAGAGTATAACATTAGAATGACCTAATAACATGGAATTCCAGCAGCACAATCAGTTATCCCTCGGTACTTATACAATAGTCTTTTAATGAATGACACACAATTTGTTTTACTACAGAGACATTTAAATGGGTCTGATACATCTTTCTCTCTGGAAGAATTACTTCAGTTGCTTTCATCACAGCCTGAAAATGTATTGGAGGTAATGGGGACCTTGGCTTGTATCCTTACAGGAAAATATCTGCACTGACCTCTCTGTGAATAAATATAACCTTTCTACCTGGGAAACTAACATTAGTTAAGCACACAGGCTTAGGATTACTTATAGGAACACTTCAACTTTGGAGAATCAGCCAAATATGGATACTATTCTTCCAAGTAATCACAAAGGTCTAATCAAATTTGTATAATTCATATTTAAACAAAATGGCAGTAAATTGACAAACTAAGGCATGGCTTTATTTTTCTGTTAGCATCTGTATCTTTTTTATACTTCACTGGTCTGACTTTTAAAAAGATGCACAAATACCAACCAACACTACTTCGCTGTTGCTGTTCTTGCCCATGATCCTCCAATGTGGACTTAGATTGCCAACAGCTAGGATGAGAGTTGCATCTTATAAAGGTTATAACATTATAATGATCTAATAACAGACTCAACTTTGGCTAACCCAATTTTTCTAAATTGTCATATTGAAAGAATGAAACTTTCCCCAAATATAGCACATTCTGATTTGGGCCACACCATGAATTGCCTGTATTATTTAATTGGGGAAAGCTATTCATAGCCAACAGCATATCCCTATTTGTATGGAGGAACTGATGAAAGTGAGGAAAGAAAATGGTGTATTAGAGGTACTAGAACTGCTATTGAAATTAAAGTGCTCTTCAATCTTTTGCAGGGCATCTCACTGGGAGATATTCCTCCTCTTCCACCAAGTATCAATGATGGCATGAATTCTTCAGCATATTATGTGAATTTTAGCCAGGCTTTAAGTCATGATGTAAACCTCCACGAGGCCATGTTGCTACGTCCTGACAATACATTTAGAAGAGATTCAGCAGAAAGGACTTCACAGCCACAAGAACAATTTCTGCAGTTAAATTCTCACACCACCAATCCCGAACAGATCTTTCCTGGAACTAATTTGACAGGATTTCTTCCACCTGTTGACCATCAAATAAGGAATCCAACAAGCCAAGACCTATATGACCTTGACATAAACATATTTGATGAGATAAATTCATTGTCTTTGACCATAGAAGGTTTTGATCCAATGGAAGTTTCTCACCTTTTTGAAGAACCAGATTCCGATTCTGGGCTTTCCTTAAATTCAAGCCACAGTAGCCCCTCTGTCACCAAGTCTAATTCCTCCGTGTGTGAAGGTGCTATAGGTTCTAGCAGTGACCTTGAATGTCTTTCCCACCATGCTTTAGAAGGTGCTGTAGGAGGCTACTACCCAGAGCCCGGTAAGATTTGTCACATGGATCTTAGGGGCGATTCTGGTTTTCACGGGGATCTTGCATTTCAACACATATTCCATAACCACACTTACCACTTACAGCCAAGTGTACCAGAATCCACTTCAGAATCTTTTTCTCGGCCTGGGAAGTCACAGAAAATAAAAAGTAGGTACCTGAATGACACAGACAGAAACTTAAGCCGTGATGAACGCCGTGCTAAAGCTCTGCATATCCCATTTTCTGTAGATGAAATTGTCCACATGCCTGTCGATTCTTTCAACAGCATGCTAAGCGAGTACTACCTGACAGATTTACAAGTGTCACTCATCCGTGATATTAGGCGAAGAGGGAAAAATAAAGTTGCCGCTCAGAACTGTCGTAAGCGCAAACTGGACATAATTGTGAATCTAGAAGATGATGTATGTAACTTGCAAGCAAAGAAGGAAACCCTCAAGAGTGAGCGAGCCCAGTGTAACAAAGCTATCAACATAATGAAACAAAAACTGCATGACCTTTATCACGATATCTTTAGTAGATTAAGAGATGATGAAGGTAGACCAGTCAATCCAAACCAATATGCTCTTCAATGCAGCCATGATGGAAGTGTTTTGATTGTACCCAAGGAACTGGTGACCTCGGGCCACAAAAAGGAAACTCAAAAGGGAAAGAGAAAAGGTGAGAGAAGAAACTGAAAATGCATCAATGCCATTAATATGTATAAAATAATGGTCAGATAATATATGGATCACAAACCATTGAAAACTGCTTCGAGGTTTAGCTCAAGTGTTATGTAAAGTGTCTTGAAGTACTGCTACTTGAATCACTCAATTAAGGCTGCATTTTGAAGCTTATATGGACAAGTTTCAGACTTCAGGATCAGCCTTGTGGGAAATCTGGGGAAAGCCACAACTTTCCACTAAGTCCTCCTGTATTATATGCACAATTCATAAGTATGTACAATGAGTAGGGTGACATGAAAACTTGATATGACTAGTTACTTTGATAGTCCTTTTAGTAAGATGACCACTTCAAACATAGCAAATAATGGATGTAATTATTTTTAAATGTAGTTTAGTTTTTGACTTGAAATGCAAAGTAGCCTTAACATTCTCAATTCAGTTTGTTAGCACTGAAGTATAGTGCACTTTTCAAAAGCTGTTTTAATTCTTATACTTAAATTATAACTTTGGAAATAATTTTTATACTTGAATTTATTTAAAGTTTAAGTAAATCTATGTTGACTATCTTTCATTCAAAATACTCACATTCAGGAATATAAATAATAGGGCAGCATGTTCGACCTGATCCAAATTGAACCCAATGTAGTCTGTTAAACAGATAAGGGAAAATCCCCACCTGGATATAATAGAATACTATGTGAAATATAAAACTATGAATGGCCAAGGTCTAAACCATGGTGTCAAAAACAAAAAATGGAAGCTTTAAAAAATAGTGCATTATTAGGCTTTAATGGCTAAGAAGAAAGACTTCTAAGGTCAAGTTTGAGAGAACAGTGTTACCTGTGTAAGGGGAAAAGAACTCCCAGGCAAGTAAGGCAGCCTGTGGGGATGGCCTTGCATTCGTAACATGGATGTCTCCCAAAAAAAACTTAAGTAGCTTCATTATGGAAATACTAAAAGCCACATATGTACAAACACCAATAGCAAAGAAAGAGTCAATAGATGAGCACTGACTATAATATAACCAAAGAAATGGAAATATTGAAACCTTTTGAAATAGGACAATAAGAAACTCAAGTCATTCATCCTAGAAATAATGGAATTGAAGGGCAAATGAATTAACATGAACACTGTAAGCCTGTTGAATTTCAAAATGGTTTTCAGATATTTCTACCATAATAATTTGCCTAGTTGCAGAAATCACAAGTCAAAGTATTATCTTGGGTTGCAAAAATGCAGTGTTTTGTAAGAGTGGATTTTTATAATAAACTTTTTCTCCATTTTAAATTGGGTCTAGGCATTTCTTTCAAGCCCTGGGTTTTGCCACAATGCTTCCAGATATAAACATCACTTTACTGATCAGTTTCTTTATACAATTAGCACATTAAATGTGTAGGTTTCAAATCCCAAATCAATGAAACATAGGCAGGCATCATCAAATTGGCAAGGAAGAAGGCATGCAGTAGAGAACTGGTACTGAAGACAATATAAACAGTAACCAAGGCCAATGAGTCAAGTCTTGAATTTCCTGACACCCCACACAATAAAAGTTTCAGGGTGGGTAAATTGAAGCTCCTTACTCAAGTTTTAGCAGTGGAAATGTCAAAAATTTTAGCCTGAACTCACGTCGATTAAGGAACATGATACACAAAAGGTTGATTTGTTTTACTAGTTGAGCAGGGTTATTTTGGAATCCAGGGTAGTGTTATGATTGTTTCTTCAGCTTGACTAAGAACTGATCATTTTCAAAAGGCCACCTTCTAAGTATCCATTTTTACTGAAACTGTTGACTCATTCTCACCAGTGAATCTTAACACAGGCCGTTAGGACTTAGTCGAACCAACCACTCCATCAAAGTCTGCACAAAATGTGTCCTGTTATTTGGTATGAGGCCTTACACCCTCAAGGAAATCATGAGATCTAGACCCTTAAGCCCTTGGCCTCCTTTAAGCTCATTTTCTGGTAGGCATCTTTTCTGTTTAATAGACTAACCCAAGCCTAAATTCCATTTATTTTATCCTGACCCGAGGACATTTCTTTCCATTTTTTGTTCAGATAGACTGGGAGGGAGGGGTGGGAACATTCGATGTGAAAGGGACACATTGATTGGCTGCCACCCGCACAACCAACCAGGGCTGGAGACAAACCGCAACCAAGGTACATGCCCTTAGTGGGAACCAAACCCGGGTCTCTGGACCACAGGCCGACGCTCTAACCGCTGAGCAAACTGGCCAGGGCCTAAATTCCATATAAAATTGATTCAGATGTAAAGCTACTCTCGCCTTTGTATTATTCCTGAAATTACCCTTTAAAAGTGAAATCTGGCAGACTACCCCATATTCAGAATCTTTATTTTCTTCCTGTAGCCAAGAGAAAACCCTGAACAGCCTCATAGGTGAAATGGGATTCTTGGTTGTGTGTATAGAAAAATGTGCGCTCAACATGAACCTCTCGTTTAGATTGTTCCTCATCAGTGTTTTCTGGGAAGGTACATTGTGCCTCCCGCCCCCCCCCCCCCCCCCCCTTGAGCTGAGACACTCTTGTTTTTTATACCTCTTTGACAGACCAGCAAAAAATATTTGTTGTGAAGAAATTTTACTGTTTACCATGAGATGAAAAAGGTTGGAAATAGCTGCCCTAAAGTTATTACTTTCTTTTAGAAATATTGGGTTACACAGAACTACTTTATAATTCACGTTCTAAAGGAAAATTACTTTTAAAAGCCACTTTATCCCGAGATTAATAAATACAGCTATTTTAAACGTCTATTAGCCACCGTTTGACTTACCTGATACTTATAACCAAAATAAGTCAACCTTACTATGTTTTTATCTTTGTTATTCCATGTAAATGTCTAAGCCATGGCTACTAAATTTTTATTATCCTCTATATCCCTGATACTAAGTGTAAAATGCAACATTTGAGAAACTAGAATGACAGGTTGTCTTGGTGCTTTGCATGACTTAATCTGAATCACTCTAGCTGCTTAAAAACAATGTATTTTATAACACCACCAGCAATGTTGAACACACAAGGTAAAGCCAGAAAACTAGAGCAGCATTCCAACGCTAAATATAGTGTATAAAGAATGGCATTTTTATTAGGGACAGGCAATAATGTCCACATGCTTTTCTCATGTCTGTTAATATTGATAGAAAAATGGCGATACGCAGAGTTTTGTGAAACTGCTTTAAAAATCTAGGGGATGGCAATTCTTTAGACAACTGAAAAGCTCATAGAACAAGATTCACACATTCTATGTGTAAACATTACACCAAGTATTTGGATACAAAAGTATTTATTTTATAAACTTTATATTTAAAATAGAACTTTAATCTGTCTACTCACAAAACCTAATTTAAAACATGATACATTTATCTCTCTGGCTGATTTGATGTTACTTTTACAAACAATACTCAACTTGTAATTGTTCTATATTTAGAACCTATACTAAAAAAGTTTGTATTTTATCAGAGAACATTCCCCTTTAATCTTAAAGAGTGCTTTTTAAAATGAAGGCACCAACAAGAACTACTTTCAGATGGTACAGAATTTCTTATTTCTTGAAGACTCTGTGGTTGACCACTTCTTCATTAGTTACCTGCAGCAAGACACCTTCCTGCCAAAGGAAAAAAAAAGTATCTGAAGAAGTTTATCATGTTTGTCCAAAAAACCTAAATAACTTCAGTGGTGGTCTTAGGATCAAAGAAGACTCACTGGTGCATACAGTAGAATATGCCCTGATTATCACATTCCTGAAAAGGCAATAAAGCCAGGCAATCAAATTCTGATGACATTTTAAGAAATGAATTTCAGCAGCCAACCTAAGTCTGTCCTATAAGGTAGTGAATTGGTAAAGAGTCACCACATCCATACCCCAGAATTTAGTACTAGATACATAATTTATAATGGAGACAACTATTTTCTGAAATCCACTTCAACCATTTTTCCCTCCTCTCTCCTTAAGCCTGGTTCTGATAAACATGTAAAGCTATAACCGTATCAAATAAAACAAAATCTTTATTTTTAATACAAGCCCCTTTTCACTCAAAATGCTTGATCCAAGAAATGTGAATACACAAGGGTGTAACGATGGGAAAATTCAAGATTTATTGAACGTGCAGCCTAACTTTACCTACCATTTTTCTACCAACACCACTGAAGGAACCAAGAAAAGGAAATTGCATGATTTATCGAACTCGCAGCCTAACTTTTACCTACCATTTTACTACCAACACCACTGAAGGAACCAAGAAAAGCTTTATTAATCACTTGGCTTGCCTCAGCTGTTGAAATGAAGCACTTTACAGTCTTTGTGGCAGCGGAATATACTTGTCCATGGTTCATATCAATGCTAAAATTCCAGCAGGGAAAAAAATGATATGTTAAGCACCTGAATCTTCATAGAGGGGGGAGGGGAATGGGAAAGTAGGAAAAGGGAAGGGGGGGGGACAACCAAAATAATTTAAGTAAATGACAGACTGGAAAACAGGGTTTATGTAATTATTCTCTTGAGTTTATAAATTGTTAAACTCAATTTATAGCTATGTTAAACTACATAAGAACCACTATACTGAAAGACCATTGAAGAGTATTAGTTTATCTTTTGGGGAGGAAAATTAAGAAAGGAGAAGTAAATAAGATCTTACCTAAAGAAGTTTAACTGAAGCTTAGAACTATTTGCTCTACACCCTCAGCTTTCGTTGGCATCCTTATAAACTACTGTAGTTAAAGCTTTGTAGAAACAGCACAGTTTTTTAAGACTGGCTGAACTTAGTATCCGCCAAGAGTTTTCTTGTACTAGACCTGTATCCCTGTAGAGTACCTCGCTGGGGTTATTTTCCTTTCCTTGCATTGAAGAAGCAGCATCTAAAAGATCTAAAAAGGTGTTTCTCCTTGCAGAGATATCCCTTAAGTTATCTAGGTAATTTAATCCTGATGAATTGCAGACAACACACTTATATCTGACCAGCATTTATCTTACACAAATATAACAACAGCTTTGCAATGGACCTTAATTATACTACCCACTCCTTAACTTATTTAAAATAAAAAGTCTATAATTACACAATTTCCTTTAGAATTATTTTATTAAATCATAAATGTACAACAGCTTCTTAACTCTACACACGCACTTAAATTTTTTTAAAGGAAAAACGTTATGTCTTATTACACCATGATCCTGGCTAATAGCTTTTCAAAACTTTGAGAAAAATCTTAAAAAAGGTTTCACATGTCACCTGAAACTTACAAATTTAACATTATCAAAGAAGGAATGCTTCTACACTCTTACAAAGACCACTAGAAATAAACAACAATTAAAAAGCTAAGAAACTGTCTCAAAGGCATTTTTTTACAATCCTTCCTCCACAGTAAGGTAATGTTATTAAATAATCCAATCCATTCACAAAATGGCTCTCTGCATCTGCTCTGGTGTCTTCTGCCATATCACTGCATACTTATGCATGACTGAGATAAGAGTTTCCTTAACATTGTTATTTCGATAACCTGAAGCTGTTCTGTTACCTCTGGGCTCTCATCCTCTCCTATTTATACAGTGAAGCCTGTTTCAACAGAAGTAAAGAGTAAAAAAAAAATAGGTTATGAAATTATTCATCTAACCAGATTTTAAGGAAAGATAACATGATCCTAAAAAGCTTTTACTCCTGACAGCTATGTCTCCCCAAGACAATAATAATGTAAAACTCAAAAGCTACTTACCCATGGCAAATAGGAAGAAGCTCAATATCGGCTTCTCCCTCCATAGCCCCCACTTCCTCCACTTCCTCCAGGACCATAGTTTCCTAGAATAGGACAAAGCAAACTTACTAGATTTCCCATGATTGGCATAAATTAATCCTATCTTATACCTACCTACCTAGACTTTAAAACAATCAGATCATAACCCATTGTTTCTAATTTTATTACTTGAGAGATGTATTATCCAGATTCATAGGTATCAATTTTTTCCTTTAATTTTGGAAAATACTGATCCTACTCTTTTTAGAGGATTGTCATTTTGAGACAGTAAGGGATTTTTAGAAAATATACTGAGGCACAAGAAATGTTTGGTTCTACTAAAAAAATCTCAAGAATAACTTGAATAAATTACTTAAATGAAGATTTGTGATTACTAAGTTAACTTTTAAAGAGACAATTCATAAAAATTTATACCACTTTTCAGTGTGCTTGGTCATTTTATTTGGCTCAAAATCTTCCCAACTTGTAAAAATACAGGGTGGAGCAAAAGAAAGTTTATAGTTTTGAGCACACAAAAAACACTATCAGTTCTTGTGTTCGTGTTTTTGCACTATTTCCCTATGAACTGTAACCCTACTCTTGCCCTACCCTGTATTTTACCCCACTTAACATCCCAAGCTGAACTTACAATTATTTCCACAAATTTTAGTAAACCTATAAAGCATGAACATATTACCTTCCCATTTCAAACCCTTTCATTTACTCAAAGTAATTTAAGGAATGTAATAAATTACCTCCACCATATGGTCCCCCCATGTTCCTGCTACCACCAAAATTTCCACTCTTCATTGGACCATAGTTAGAAGGTTGCTGGTTATAATTTCCAAAATCATTGTAATTTCCACTTCCGTAATTTCCTGTAAGAAAGTTGAAATACAAGTTTTGCATAATGAACCTCAGAATTAATACAACCAAACATTAAACCAGTGATATGTGGTATTTAAGACAAATCTCCCAAAAATGGAACCAGAATAAATGCAAATCACCTATCTACAATTCTACATTTAAGGCAACTACTGACAACATTAAAAGAAATGTCATTGAAAGTCATTAATTCCACTCCAAATTCCCACATAAAGTTTGCAGGTGAATTTATTACCTCCTCCATAGTTGTCATAACCACCTCCGTAGCCCCCACCCTGGTTGCCATATCCAGGTCCTCCACCACCATATCCTCCTCTTCCTCCTCCATAACCAGGGCTACCTCCAAAATTGCCACCTATTATAAAATAAGCCTTTAAGTAATTACTTAATATTTTCAATGCCATTTGAACTGTCTTATCACACTCATTTGCAGCTTTCTAAAACATGCTTACGAGTAAAATATTTCTATGAAATCTCTTCTAAAATAGCCTCAAGGGCAGAATATCCTTAGTTAACTACTTAGGGGTGAAGAGTACGTACCACAACCAACTAGATAAAAACCTTGAGAAACAACTACCAATTTATGTCATTGCTCCTTCCCTAAAAACTAAGGATATTAAGAGTTCTCCTTAAGATGCCTTGAAATACTATTTGTATTTAATGTTACAGTTTGTGAAAACAGATAAGGTATAGGCTAATTAAACAAGAGCCAACCCAACCCAATCCCCTCAGCACCATTGCTTGGTCCAAAATATTCAAGTTCCCAACTCAGGTTTATTTCCTAAAATATGCTTACTACAATCCAACTGAATAGAAATGGCCCGAGGGGGGGGGGGGGATTCAACCACCAGAAATTAGCAAACTTATGGGCAATTCAAAAACTTAAATTGGTAATCTCACATTATTTGTAACATAAGAACTCATCTTTCTCATAAAACCAATTAAGGTTTGGGTTTCAAAAGCAAAGTTGGAAATATTGTGTAGGTGTAACAAGTTATGTATATCTCTAACAAAATCAGGTCTTTTACTACCTCAGTTTTAAATGTCTTTAGGACAACTGCCAGCAGGTATCAACTTCTATATTCCAACAAAATATCTAATGCTAAGATGTGAATTATAAAGGAAAAACCAAATGACTAAACCACTATCACCTAAGCTCTTTATAAAAGGTAAAACACTAAGAAAAATCTAATGAAAACATTAAAATGAACAAATATATCCAGTGTGATTAAATCTATTAAGTCACATAAATCAAAATATGTTAAGAAACTGACCTCCAGGTCCTCCTCCATACCCATTATAGCCATCCCCAAAGCCACGACCACTTCCATAGCCATCTGTTAGCGGCAGAAAAAAAAGAATATGATTAATATACCCTATTGAGTTTCTTTTCTTTTGTTCCATATTCTCTATTAGTACTTATGGATTATTAGAAACCATCTCCCTTTATGCTGAACACTAGTATTGGTATTTTATACTTAAAAATAAACACACCAATGTGCAATTAAAATCTCACTATCAGGGTAACTGCCAAATTTGGGGGCTTGGACTTGGTAAGCCTGTATTTAATAAGACATCCCATTTATTTACACATTGGAATGACATTATGTGGAGACACTCAAGTCTTTCACCTCCCACCTTATTACTTCAGACAAATATTTTAAGTCTAAAACAAAATTAACAAAAACATAAACTTTTTAAAGACCAGAGGCAAAGCTTCCATGGTTTTTTCAGTTACTACACAGGTGTACTTGGTTGTTTTTAAGATGGCTGCAATGTCATTTAAAAAATATTTTTGAGGACCACAAAAGGAGCCCTGCAATTGATTGTCTTTTATTACTTTAGTATTATGTCCTAACCCTGTGCCTGACCAAATCAGCATATCTCACCTACTTAAAAACTTAAGAATAACCTCTTTAAATTAGGTCAGATTTCCTGACTCTACTCAAATGTGAGTCATAGTTTTTTAATCAAGGACAGTCACCCTTATAAACATTTAGAATTTTATCTTACCAGACCCTCCTCTAAAGTTACTTCCAGGTCCCGGTCCAAAATTTCCACCGCCACCTCGAGAATCTCCAAAACCAAAGTTTCCTACAATAAATGCCCAAGTCAGTAACTAGCACTTACACAAATAAATTTTTTTAAAAAAGGGGGGGCGGGGGGTTCAAGTTACCTCCTCTTCCACTTCTAGAACTTTGAACTTCCTGCATTTCTTGTCTAGACAAAGCCTTTCTTACTTCTGCATTATGACCATTGATGGTATGGTATTTCTGCACTAGAAGGAAATGTTTAGATTCCAATAAATTAGCATTCTATGAATTGACTTATAAATTGCTCTATAAAAGATTACTTTTTAATAGTCATAGGCATTAACATGTACAAATTTTAATCTATGAAAAAGCACACATCTGGAGCTTATACACTTACACACAATCTTATCCACAGGATCATGGTCATCAAAAGTAACAAATCCAAAGCCTCTTTTCTTTCCAGACTGCCTATCGGTAATTATCTCAATGGTATCAATTTTTCCATATTCCTCAAAGTAATCTCTAAGATGATGTTCCTCAGTATCTTCTTTAATTCCACCAACAAACAGCTTCTTCACAGTTACATGAGCGCCTGGCTTTCCAGATTCCTGTAGGAATAGGAGGGGAAAAAATTCACTGTGACAGAAGAAACCAAACATCATTGAAAGCACGTAGAGGTTACATAAATGGCTTCTATCCTATGATAAAACACCATGAGAAACTAGTCTTTTGAAAAATAAGATACTCTAGGAACACCATAATAGCTTAAAAAGAAAAGAATAAAACATTGAGCTAGATACAATGAACCAAGGTCTTTCAAAAATTAAATTCTATCTTCATTTGGACAAAATTTTCTTCACATCAACTGCACCAAGTTATGCTATGCTCACCTCTCTTGCAACAGCACGTTTTGGCTCGACCACTCTCCCATCAATTGAATGAGGTCTTGCAGCCATGGCGGCATCAACCTCAGCCATGGATGAAAAAGTTACAAAACCAAATCCTCTTGATCTTTTGCTTGCAGGATCTCTCATTACCTTTAAAGTCAAAGGGGAAACTGGAATTTGATCTAGTTATTAGTTCAAAGCATTTTTTAATAAAGAACTAGATTTTAAAATTACTTTCTCCAGGATTCACTCAGCATTTTAAACACAGAATCCCAATAGTTGAACTAGCATCTAAATGCAATTTTACATATTTAACATACCACACAGTCTGTAAGTTTCCCCCATTGTTCGTAGTAGTTCCTCAAACTTTCTTCTGTTGTTTCAAAGCTCAAGCCACCAATAAAGAGTTTACGGAACTGTTCCTTTTCTCTCTGCAAAGGAAAACACCATTTCAATTTTTATTTACATTTTCTATTTGTATGCAGGAAATTAAATTCTTAAATATAAGGTGACCTGCTGGCAGAGTACCTTTTTCCTCTCCAAAGGAACAGTTTCTAAAGTTTTCTGGAGGGAAAAAAAAAACTTACATCAAATTTAAACCATATGTTAAACTGTATATTAGTTGTGTTACACCAAAACTTGCGTCAGCTGAACTATGTTTCAAAGTCATATGCTTGATTTAAATTTACTTTGACATTACTTCATGTAAATTCAAGTCTCTGTTAAAAAAAAAAAACTTTCTGAAAAGAAAGATCTATTCTCTGGTCATTTAAGGGTTAAAGGATTCTTATCATAATTTGCATTCAACTCTATATCCTAGAATAGAATTTAATACTATAAATATTCAGTTTAAATAGTTTTAGTGTAAAAATAGTCGGTTCTCTACAACACAGTTTACCATTTCAGGATTTAGTCTGTCTGTTTCCTTCATTGCTCCCTCTGGTGGAGATTATAATGTATCGCAATGAAAAATCCTTTCCCCATTTACCAACTACTTTCTTTTTGGGGGTACAAATTTAAACGTTCAATATAGGTAGCAAATATCCTTAAAATTCACCTCTCTGACCAATGGCGACGGATTTTTATGACCATCTAAAGCTTAATTAACATCATGATTTTCTGGTGCTTAGGTTGCCAAATCAGAAACAATCTGAACAGTATAGAGTTAACCATGAAATCAGTAAAATGCACTCAATGTAATAATTTTCATTTCTCAAAACTTAAACATTTATCATAACATGTTTAAATGACCACTGAGACTCGCCATTTACACTTGATTAAAAAAAAAACAAAACCACAAAACAAAACAGCAAGCTCCAGTGTATTGAACTTATTGGCTACCTCACATGTTTCTAATTTTACAAGCAAAAAGGGAAAAGGCCTGGGCTGATATCTTTTAATCCCCATAAACCAGCAAGCAAATATGCTTTGTTAATTGTCCTGAAGTTGGGGGTGCCATTTGGTATTCAGGAAAGTAGATTAAAATAAAAAACACAAAAAAATATTCAGAAACAAGAACAGATGTATTGTCCAGGACCAACTGCTATGAATGTGTAATACAAACTGAAGATCAAATGTGACTTTCCATACAACAGGAAATTTTATTCCCAGAAAATACCTCTGACAGCTCTCAACCCAGTTCTATGGAGGTTTCTCCCTCCATGTATGCTATTCCTCTCATTAACAAAAAATACAGTGAGAAAAGCAATTCAGATTTTTCCCCCTTGCGGTTAGCTGCTTTCAGGAATCTGGAAAAAAATCTAAAGATTAACATATTATCAAACTAGCTCTTGATACACTGAAATATCAATATATTAAAGTGATTATCTTGGCATATTGGTATTTGGATTAAACTGACTTTGCTTATTCTAGATACTGTATAGTCAGGAAGACAGGTCTTTTAAAACAAAAGTAAATTGAAAGATTAAAATAGTACATCTACAACAATTTTTACAAGTCACTAACAAATACAAAAGCTCATTACTTACCTCAGTTTTTCCAAACTTACCCAATGTCCACTATCGATTACAAATTTATTTTACAAGCGTGCTTAGGGTCAAAGAAAATACCCAGGAAGACCCCCCTTCGCTTGAGACCTTATGCTTATCAATGTAATGATCAACCATGATTGCAAACATAAATGAGAAAAGCAAGTGACAAAGTTCAAACACATAGCGGCCCAGGCCAAAACTTGTATGCAGCAATACACGCGTTGCAGAGCTGAAACGTGTTTTAAGCAAAGTCTAAGGATCGACTTATTTTTATTTCCCTTCTTTATATTTACAATGATCCATGGTCTTAAGCAGTCCATAGTAAGTTTACAGATAAACTTATTTTTTTAGAATACGAAAACTGCTACAATTCGAAGAGAATACTTCAAGAAAAATACACTTTTCTGAAATAAATACCCCCCAACCACAACCTCCTTCCCCACTGCCACCCATAATCGGCACTAGTTTGATTTATTTCTAAAGTTAGTTTCAAAACAACTACCTTTTTTTTAATAAGTCACCGCAGACCCCAAAAAACCGTTAGTCAAAGAAATAAGGGCTGTAAAACAAAGCGTTTTCTTTGTACTTTGGGAGGCCTTAAAACGGGCCCGGCCCGTGGAGGCGGCTTTCCCTCGAGGCTCCCGAGCGGTGCGAACCAGCCCGACCCCCCCCGCGGCTCCTGAACGCAATGGCGCCATTTCATCGAGGGGAAGGCAGAGCCTCCAGTGAGGTGCGCAGGACTTTAAAAGATCCAACCTCACAAACACTCGGAGTCCGCCCCGAAACACCATGAAATCGGCCCGAGAAGAAAGAAAAATAGTTAACCGCTTCTATTCTTTGAGAATGGAACCAATGGCGTAGGATTCGGACAGTTAAAAGAAAAACGCGGCGAAGGAGGAGAGGAATGAAAATGGCGGCCGCCAAATCCGGTTCCCGGGAGAGGGGGAGGGGAAGCGCCGCAGCCTCGCTCCGGAGGACCCGGAGCCCGCCAAACGCCCCCACGCAGGGAGGCTGGGCCCCCAAACCGGCCTGCTTTAAAAACCCACTGAGAATTCCCGCCCCTGCGCCCTGCTTTCACTAAACTTGGGCTGCGTCCGCCATGTGGAAAGTCCCCATCCCCCACCCCCAGCAAAGGGAAATGGCGCCGGCAGGCTGAAGGGTGGGGAAAGTGCTGTATAAACAGGCCTCCGCAACCAACTCGTCAAAAACATCCCCGGCCCAACCGCTTCTGAGACGGCCGGATTTCACTGCCGCTCTCCCACGAGACGGGGGGCCGACTGCCACAGAGGCGCCAACGGCCTCGCCATGCCCTTTCCAACAACTCATTGATTTCAAACCCGTTACCTCCATCGCGGACTCAGTCGCTTCAGCCCGATTTCCCGCAGCCGAGCGAGATGAGAGAGATCTCCGCGGTCGAACGCGAACCGGACTCGTCCTGGCGCTGTAGTGAGAACTGCCGCCGCTGGAGAAACAACAACGCTAGAGGAACCTCCGCACGGCAAGCCGGCGCTGCTGCTACTGCCGCTAGAGCCACTGCCGCCGCTTTTCTAGAACCTTCCCCCCCCCACCAACGCGTCTTTACGTCAGGCCGTTGCGTAAACGTCCTAACTGCCGCCAATGGCGGGAACCCGCTACGCCCTCCTTACGCCAAGTACGTACTCCTCCCTCCTTTACGGCCTGCGGAAGGCTTGACGTCACTTGCGTAAATCGGACCAGTGAATTGCGGAAGGCTCGAGTCAGCGTATTTCCCGGTCTGGGACTTGGGTCCAGCCTCCGCTTTAGCGCAGGGCAAGTGAGAAACGGTCGCGTAATTTGAAATCAAAGCTGTCGGGTAGAGCTTAATCCACAGCCCGGAGGTCCAGCCCCCTAAGCAATGCAGTTGATAATCCTCCCATCTCGCATTCTCCCGCCGTAAAAATTTCTGTGGCCTCCCCACTGCTCTTTTCCTTCTTCCCCCACCCTTTTCCCCAGAGCACAGGACTGACTCGGCCCCTTCCGGGAACACCCGAAACGACTTCTAGTCAAGAAATTAAACTTCATGCGCCACCAACCTAACCCTGGCCAGTATCTTTGGGGTTCAGTCCTCGGGAGCCGAAAGAGGCACCCTTCTTAGTTCCAATTTTGCCCCAGCTTTTTCTTCACCTCCCCACCTCCCCGAGCGAGGTACCCACCCCCCGAGCGAGGAAGTGGGCGGAGTCCAGTTTTGGCGCCAGCGCTGCTGCTGCGAAGCAGAAACGCCTCCGCCGAGAAGACCTTGGTCGACGTCCTCGCCCCTCCTTCCCTCTCCCTCCCCTCCCGGGACCACCTGGCGCCACCCCGCGAACGGTAAGTGCCGCTGTTGCCACCGCCCTCCCCCTGGGTCTGGGCCTGGACTCCCGGCGGGCACAGCGCGGCCCCTCCCCCTCGCCGGGCGCGCGCCCGCCCGCCCCGCCCCTCATAGACGCCTGTCGTGGGCGGTGCCAATCCCCCCTCTCGCGGCCGCAACCCCGCGCGCGTTTCCCCGGCCCCCTCCCCCTCGGATGTGGCTCGAGCTGAAGGCGCGCAGGGCCTGAGACGCTGTAGACGCGGGACCCGGAGCTGCACGGAGGCGGTGGAGTCGGTGTCTTTCCTTCTCTCCAGCGATCACTCGGAGGTGGTGTTTGAGATGCGCCTCGGGGACTCCCCCACCCCAGTTCCCGGTTCCCACCCATCCCCACCCGACCCCCGAGGCGGATATTGAGCGGAGGCGATGGGAGACCCCGCCGCGGGCCTGGCGCGGGGCCGGCGCCTGTAGTTTGTTGGGATGAGACTCCGAGAGGGTAGAGAGCTGTGGCCACAGCCGCCTTATTTTTAGACAAAGCGCGTTTACTTCTCCCCTCCCCCACCCCCGATCAAAATGAGAGGCCTGCCTCCCCCTCCGGGGCTTGGTCGGCGACCCGGGCCTCTTCGGGGAGGGCGGTGCGTTCTCCGGCTTCTGCGCGGCCCGCTGGCCGGAGACTGCGGCGAGCGCTCCGTTACGTGGCCGCCGCCGGGCGGGGGAGGCGCGGGCCCCGTGGCGCAGTGCCCTTGAACCCCCGCGCCGCGGCCTTTGTTTCTCCCCGCGGATGCGCTGACCACGAGGCCTGAGCTCCCGGGTGGGTGGGTGGGTGGGTGGGGGCGGGGCCCAGCACTTAAGCTTCGTTAAGCGGGTGGGACTTGGGTCTTCTGGGGAGCGGATGGACGTGTCTAGAAGGTTATTTGCTTTTAAGTGGCCCCAAATGGGGCTGAAGCATCTCGGTGTGTTTTTCCTTTAGTTTTTTTAACGAGTGACTGGAGAGAGGGGAGGGTTTCCAAGAAGAAACCAAGTTGGGATTACCTAGGCGACTCTATTTGGAGGCCTAGAAGAAAAATTCATAGTAGTTTACCATTTTGATTGGGTAATTGCGTCTGATTTTGAACCAAAATATTTGGTTAGTTTTAAGTAAATTCTGAATATGATATAAATGAGATTTGGATTGGGGAAAAAGTGTCTTTTTGCCCTGTAAAGCTGTGTTTGTAGAAGTCTTCCCCAGTAATGTTTCTAGACCCACTTGGTTAGAAGACTGATATTCTCAGGCATGTATTACTAACTTACGCAGTAATTTCAGTCTGCTGCTCTGGATTTGTATACATGTTTGGTAATATGTACTATATAGGTGGGGCTTGGAATCCAAACAAAACTTATGTTTACCTTTTTTGTGTGTCATTCATAAAACTTTTTAACTGTCATGTATTTTTCTAGTAATAGCTCTTCAAGTCTGCAATAAAAAATGGCCTCCAATAAAACTACATTGGTAAGTTGATTAAAAAACTGAAATATGTAAGGATCTAACTCAAATTTTTTTCCCTGAAAATCATAACTTTGCATTTCAGTGGTTGAGAAATATACATCCATTTATATTCCCCAGTGCCGCCTCCCCCCCCCATATGTTATGGGAAGAATTTGCAGCAACAAAATCATTGCATTGAGATACTTGTTGACTTGGTTTAATACTGTCTTGATTACGTTAAAGGAACCTAATCTCGAAAGACTAACACAGTATGAATTTAACAAGTATATTTATCTTGAAATAAAAGTGCAAAAATTTATGTAACACGAAGGAATATGTTGTAAGCCAATGGGCGGACAAAGCAATAAAACCCTTGTTGATTGGCATATTATCTAACACACTGTGCACTGAATTCTACAGAAATCAAGTATTTGCAGTATTGCCCAGTTTCAAGAACAGGTATCTTGTACAGTAGTACACTTAGACTAGGACAAAACTCATTAAATCTTTTAAATACTTAGGGTACTTTGTCATATTTAAAACTTATTCTACAATTTGAATCATTGCAATTTTTTTTTTTAAGTATCTAAAATAAACCCAGTTGCACATATGGGCAGGAAGGAGAGAAGAATAGACTTTCTGGAACTTCTGAAGTTAACTGTTTTCTCTCTGGCAGTTTCTTAAACCCAAAGTTTATGTTCTTAGGCTTCATTAAAAGTTCAACAAATGTGTAAAGGCATACATATATTTGGTCAAGTTATAAGTTAAAAAACAAACTGGGATATTCACATGAGAATAGTGAAATTCAAAGTTATGGTGTCTCACAGTATTTAATTCTAACACATTGCATTAATAGTAATCTTAAGCATATAAAGGTGAGTGTTAACATCTAAGTAAAGCAAAATATTTGGTTTGTATATTCTCCCCTTGGATTCACGTGAAAAAGGGCAAGTTGGTAATTTGTCATTTGTGTCATCATTAGATTGCACATTTAAATGACATATCCTGGGAAATATGAAATATAAAGCTTGTCTGGTGAGTCTCTGATACAAATGATTCTCAACAACGCCATCAGTGGAAAAAGCACAAAGCATCTTCTCTGGACCTTTAGGATTGAACTGTCCTTCAAAATCCATTATCAGTAAAACAATGTGTATGTAATTGAATTGGCTTTGTAGTCACCTATGTCTGAGTATTGGATGGGAAAGGAACTAGCAGTGCCTGATGCTTTGAGGGTGAATATAGATACAGAAAGCAAATAGATGCTTCTATTAAAATTAAATTGATTTTGCACAGAAGTTTTTTAATCTGCATTTTAAAATGACTTCACTTGTGTTGTAATATAACAGTGCTATAACTTAAATTGAGAAAGTGTGTGGATTTTCTTTTAAAATGCAAAGGATGAGCACTTCAAACTAGCTTATGATTGCTATTGTAATAGTTCATTTTTTATGCCAATTTATTTTAGTCTTGGGGTTTATTCTTTTCATTTTGTTTATTTTTGTCATCTTTATTCTGTTAATCTCTTGCTTTCATAAACCTAGCTATTTTGTTTGTCGTTTAGGATTAGTGTCTAATAAGCTTTTGTCCACAGCAATTTTTCTTTACTTTTCCCACTGCCGTACTTACCTTCCTTGTGCTACACAGAAGCAGAAAATTACCTGCATGGGTGCAGTGCCCAAGTAGTGTATGTGTATAACTCTAAGTGACTACATAGTTTTAATGTCCTTTTGTAGTCTTTTGGCATTGGTTTTACCTTTTTCTGCTTTAATAGCACCTGTTTTAAGATGAAAAGGTTATCAAATGAGTCTAACATTTGGGATTTTTTTCCTTGAATCTCTCCTAATCATTTAGTTTTGTGTGGTTTAAAACATTTATTCGTTTTCATTCCTCTGGCAACAGATCTTTTTGTGTTATTAGAACACAGTGGGTCGGGCCCTGGCTGGTTTTGCTCAGTGATTAGAGCGTCGGCCTGCAGACCAGAGAGTTCCAGGTTCGGTTCCCACTTAGGGCATGTACCTCAGTTGTAGTTCGTCCCTGCCCTGGTTGGAGTTGTGTGGGTAGCAGCCAGTTGATGTGTCTCTCTCACATCGATGTTTTCCTCTCTCTTCCCCTTCTCTTCCCCTTCTCTCTCCCTCCTGCTCTACCTGAAGATAAATGCAAAAATGTCCTCAGGTGAGGATAAAAAAAAAGAAGTAAAAAGAAAACAGTGGGTTGAGCTTGGTCTCCTGCTTATAGTGTTATACTTAAAAAAAGAAAGAAAAAAACAAGCTAAAAGTGAATTTTCTTGGCTACCAGTTTAGACTCCCCCTACCCCCTTTTATCTTCAGGTAGAGTGGGAGGAAGGGAGAGAGAGAAACAAACAAACATCAACTGGTTGCCTCTCTCCAGGACTCTGACCAGGGGAGGGGACCAAACCACAACCAAGGTATGTGCCCTTGACCGGAATTGAACCCACAACTCTTTGGTCCTCGGACCGACACTCTAACCCCGGAGCCATACTGACCACAGCAGGGCTAGACTTTTTTTAATCCTCACCCAGGGATATGTTTTTATTGATTTTAGAGCGAGAGGAAGGGGGAGAGAAAAACATTGATTGATTGCCTCCTATACATGCCCCGATCGGGAATAGAACCCAAAACCTTTTGGGGTATGGAACAATGAATGCTCCAACCAACTGAACTGTGTGACCAGGGCCCAATTTTGACTTTTGAGACACCAAGAAGGAAGGATTTTTTTCCACAAATAAACTGATCCAGCATTTTGACCTCTTGGAATGACAGCATTATAGCTTTGTTCCAGTTGTTCAGTAATATATATTATCAACAGAGATTGTGGGAAAATAATCTTGTCCTTTAATCTATTCATCATCTCCTTGGTTGATCCTGCAGTTGATACCAGTGTTCTGAACCATGTTTTCATTCTTGCTGTTAACCTTTTTTATATTGCTGAGGCTTTTAACATTGGCGTTTAAATTGGCAAAGGTGGGGGGTCTTAGAGTTTGGGAGCTATGATTTCAGCTGGTCTACAGTTCACTTAATAAGACCTGTCACTGCTCTGTCTAATCTAATGCTTCCTAGCTGTTTGTGGGGCTGTGTTGTAGTTAAAATGAGTGAAAACTATAATAAACATGATCTTGTAGACTACATAGAAATAAGACCAGGAAAAGATAATAGTATTTTCCACATAGTGTTTTTTATTGTTATTTCATTGAAGGGTGGTGGTAGATTTACACTAAACTAAGAGAATTAAGTATTCCTTTATTTTATTGCTTATCTGTTGACTTTTCATTAGGTGTCTACTCTGGGATATAGCAGTACAAAGTTGGGTGTCAAATTCAATGATATAAGAAATTTTAGCCTTTAAAATGTACCCCAAAATAAAAAAAAGTACTTTGTAATTTTTTATTTTGTTTTGTTTTAGCAAAAAATGGGAAAGAAACAGAATGGAAAGAGTAAAAAAGTTGAAGAGGCAGAACCTGAAGAATTTGTAGTGGAAAAAGTATTGGACCGACGTGTAGTGAATGGGAAGGTGGAGTATTTCCTGAAGTGGAAGGGATTCACAGAGTAAGGGAATCCCTTTTATTATATGTTAACTGCGCTTAAGAGGTGTTTAAAACTTGTTTTTAACCTGAGATCTTTTATCAGTTTTCCCACATGTTTCTTTAAATTTGGAGAATTCCTTAATCCAGGGTAGCTTGTTTGAGATCTATTTTAAAAAAAAAAAAAAAACAACTTTTGCCCTGACCGGTTTGGCTCAGCGGTTAGAGCGTCGGCCTGCGGTCCGGAGAGACCCGGGTTCGGTTCCCGCTAAGGGCATGTACCTCGGTTGCAGTTTGTCCCCGGCCCTGGTTGGTCGTGCGGGTGGCAGCCACTCGATGTGTCCCTTTCACATCGATGTTTCTCTCTCTCTCTCTCTCCCTCCTGCTCTATCTGAACAAAGAATGAAAAAGTGTCCTCGGGTGAGGATTAAAAAAAAACCAACTTTTAAGCCTACAGTTTAGCCAAGCAAATTTGAGACTAGTTGATAGCCTTGGACAGTCAAATTTATAGAATTGTTGTATTGTAGTTTACTATGCAGTGAATGGTTTTTTAAAGATTTTTTTACTTATTTTTAGAGGGAGAGAGAGAAAAAAATCTCAGTGTGAGAGCAGATCAGTCAGGTGCCTCCTTCATGGCCGGCCCCAGCTGAAATTGAGCCTGTAACCTGGGCATTTGCCCTGACTGGGAATCGAATGGGCAGCCAGGGCTATTTAATGCTTTTTTTTTTTAATCCTCACCCGAGGACATTTTTTGATTTATCTTCATATAGAGTGGGTGGGAGAGAGAGAGAGGAACATCGATGTGAGAGGACACATTGAGTGGTCGCCACCCACACAACTCCAACCGGGGCTGGGGACAAACTGCAACCAAGGTACATGCCCTTAGCGGGAACCAAACCCAGGACTCTGGTCCACAGGCTGACACACTAACCACTAAGCCAAACTGGCCAGGGTTGTAATGCATCGTAATACAGCTAGATATTGCACTAACTAGAATACCTAATGTACATTGCTTCCCTATATCAGGAGGGCACAAAAAACATGCACGCTCTGTAATGTAGACCAGTGGATCTTAAATAGAAGTGCTTATTATGAACCAGTTCTTATACTAGGTTTACCGTATCCTAATCTCTAAGTAGAGTCTGGGCATTTTTTAAACTCCCTGGTTCCTCATGTCTCTTGTTACTAGTTGCTCTCATAACTGCTCTATAATATTAGCTGTCTCGTGAATAACTTGCATGCAGAAATTATACTCTTAATGTTTATCATATGCCAATCTGCTTGTGTTCTTCTGTCTTACCACAAAAACAGTGAGGCTCCATGGCAGTGACTATTAGTAACGGATAGATAGAGATCTACAGAAATTTTCTGAGCATGTTGGAGATGCGTATGATAGTCAAATTATTAGGCTTCAGTTATCTGTAATCTACTACCCCCACCATTCACTTAAATTTTTTTTTTTTAATCTACACTGGAAGATACTGTTTTCATTGTGGTTTTTTGTTTTTTGTTGTTGTTGTTTGTTTTGGTTTTTTTTTAGAGAAAGTGGAAGGGAAGGGAGAAGGGGGGAGAGAGAGAAACATCAGTTGGTTGCCTCCGCACACACCCCATCCTGGGTCTGGGATTGAACCTGCAACCCCAGGTACATGCCCTGGACCTGGAATTGAACCCTTGACCCTCCTGTGCACAGGCCGAAGCTCTAATCCCTGAACCGTATTAGTCAGGGCTCCACCATTCACATTTTAAAGCAACCTCCTTAGCAGGTTGGGAAATGTGAGTTGAATGGAAGGTTTAGGTTTTCCTGTTTAATCTTTACAATACGTTTAGTTGAACTTAAGTTCATAATTTGCCCGTGGAAAATCTCCTACAGATAGTTGAACCAAACAAGTGAATTTGAATTGTTCTTTAAATTAAATTTAACCAGTTTGCCAAAGAATTGATAATCTTCATATGGTAGACAATTGGTTTTTGTTATTGGTTGGTTGGTTGGTTGGTTTTTTAACTCCATGGGACATTAAAAACTATTTGTCTCTTTGTCCATGGGACATTAAAAACTATTTGTCTCTTTGTCTTACCCATTATATGTTAGGAAACTAACTCCTCATTACCCTTTCTCCCCAAACTTAAGGCCACTAGTATGATTGAGAACCTACTGTGTGTGATACTATGTATTAGGTAACATAGAAGGCTGTAATGAAAAGAACACTACAGCCCAGCCAATGTGGCTCAGTGGTTGAGCATTGACCCGTGCACCAAGAGGTCACCAGTTTGATTCCCCGTCAGGGCACATGCCCAGGTTGTGGGCCTGATCCCCATTGAGGGGCATGCAGGAGGCAGAGAGTCGATGTCCTCTCTCATCCATGTTTCTCTCTCTCTCTCTCCCGCTCCCTTCCTCTCTCTAAAATCAATAAAGAAAGAATTTTTTTTTTTTTTTTAAAGAACACTACTGAATTGGAGGCTCCACTGCAGCTCTTTTGTCCTCCTTTACCCTCTAATTTAGGTTTGCCAAGTTTGGAGTTTCAGAACATCATCAGACCAAATTGTAACCAGAGGTTAATAGCACCTTTTCCGGCATCTCTAAAATGATTTTTTTCATTCTATCTTGTTGTGTAAAGGCTTTTTAGATCAGAGCACACAAAATTTACAAGTCTATCACTAGCTAGCGAAGGAAGATCTTACTTTCACATTTGGTAACTGATACTTGTTTTCTTTCCAGTTTTTGTTTATGGGCCCTGAAATTCAAGTTTTATCATTTCCATTTTGAAATTTTTTTTCCAACCAAGTAAAAATGTGTAAAACATTCTTAGTTTGTGAGCTATACAGAAGGCTGGATTTGACTTATTTTTTACATTATTTCTCAATTTGAGCACTCAGCAGAAATTGAAGGTACTGTCTCATGTTAGAGAATGTCTCAAAGTTATTTTTTTATTATTTAAATCCTCACCTGAGGGTATTTTTCTATTTATTTTTAGAGTGTGTGTGTGTGGGGGGGGACTGATGTGAGAGAGACACATTGATTGGTTGGCATCCCACATGACCCTGACTAGGGCAGGGGGCCGAGCTGCAACCAAGGTATGAGCCCGTGACCGGAATCAAACCCGGGACTCTTTGGTCCTTGGGCTGACATGCTCTATCTGCTAAGCCAAATCGGGTCAAAATTATTTTAAAACACAGTGGAAGGTGCTAACCCTAGGTATATTCTGATTAATCCATTAAAGTAATTTATGGTGGGAATTAGGAATCCACATTTTTTAAAAGCCATTCCAGAGAAATTCTAAAATGGGTTATTTTTTTTTATTTGGAAAAATACTAACTTCAGCTATTCTGCTAGAATCAGGTTTTGTTAACCTGGGGGTAATATAGTAGATTAACCCCTTGAGTAGGGACTGCGAAGGAAGACATAAAGGGAAGTATGATTAGATTGTGTCAAAAGAATATAAGGGATGGGGAATAAATGGTTAGCATAGAGGGCTTTTCCAGGTATATAGTAAGTGAATGAATCTGGATGATGGTGATAAACCAAGTTTAATTGAATTAACTTTTTTTTAACTGAATGCAGTGCTGACAATACTTGGGAACCTGAAGAGAATTTAGATTGTCCAGAGTTAATTGAAGCATTTCTTAATTCTCAAAAAGCTGGTAAAGAAAAAGATGGTACAAAAAGAAAGTCTTTATCTGACAGTGAATCTGATGATAGCAAATCAAAGAAGAAAAGAGATGCTGTAAGTATAAAATATTGCCCACCAAGCTGGCTTTTTGTAAAAGGTTGCTGGGTTGATTTTTAAAATACTTTTAGGGTACTTTTTAAGACTTTAATATTTTTAAGATATTGTTAAAATGCTTAAATATTTAGGGTAAAAAGGATAGGTGTGGTTTAGCCTACATTTATAAATACAGTTAAGTGCTTATACCATTTAAATTATTGTGCTAGTGTTATTTTGTGCAGATTTGTGGGTATGGTATCTGATCACACAATTTCCTATGATCCAAGACCAGCAGTCCTAAATACAAAGAACACTAACATTAGGTTATTGAAATATCTTATAGTATGGTGGAAACACGCTACATAGCACATCCTGATTGTGACTGTGGGTGGCCTTGACCACAAGAAAATACCTTTGGCGTGTGATCTTTGTATTATTGAAGTATTGCTGAACAGTATTTTGATTCTGAAGTAATCTTTGATAATAACATTTTTTGTTTGTTTTATTGGCATGAATTGAGACAGTTGGTTTATTCACTACATGTGTGTTTTGCTCCAATCTTTGCTTCACTGGTGTCTCTGTGGCTTTGGGCAAATCACATAACTCTTTGCTTCTACCTTCAACTTCAAAACAAATTATACTTGCGCTGTGTACTGGGCATGGTAATTTGGAAAAGGGTCTTGGTTCTAAATTAGTATTTAGACTTGGGGACTAAACACAATACTGTTTTCTTGATGAGACCTTTGGATTTAAAATTTGGTCATTTGAACTAGATGCAATATACTTTGCAGATATTCCATTAAATGTTCATGACATCTCTATTAAGATTATAGGTTTTATCCCCATTTTACAGATGAAAAGCAGAGGTTGGCTATAGATTTGGGTCTGGATACTTTAGCAGCCAACCAAAGCAAAAAAGTAACAATGTTAAGAATCAGTATACACTAGTCCCCTCATATCGATGGTTTCAGTTACCCATGGTCAACTGAGTTCCAAAAATAGTAAATTTCCCCAGCCAACTACATTTTCTCCTCCTGACATCTAACCATCGACATCGTCATGGCTCAATGATCCAGGATCACCCGGAGCAGATGATCCTCCTTCTGACGTATCATCAGAAGGTCACTAGTAGCTTAATGCTACATCACAATGCCTACGTCATTCATCTCATCATGTAGGCATTTAACCATCTCACATCATCACTAGAAGGGTGAGTACAGCACAATTAGATATTATGAGAGACCACATTCATGTAACTTTCCTTACAATATTGTTATAATTGTTCTATTTTATTACTAGTTGTTAATCTTACTGTGCCTAATTTATAAGTTAAATTTTATTACAGGTATGTATATATAGGGGAAAACTGTGTAGGGTGCAGTTCTCCACAGTTGCAAGTATCCATTGGGTCTTGAACGTGTTTTCTTGAGTAGATAAAGGGGGAATGCTGTGCGTAACTTAAAAGACAATAGAAGCACTGTTTAATTAAACAGTAGTTGTTATGCATTGATCCCTTACATTGTACCAGCCAGTCTTCTAAATAATAATTTAATTCTCATTTCATATACATGAAAAACCTGAGACAGATGGTATAATTATTCCTATTTTTTGGATAGTCTAAACCACAAAGAGATTAACTTGCCCAGAGCCACACCACTAGTAGAAGTTAGAGCCATTATTCTAAATAACCTAAGCATCTGACTCCAGAGTCTGGGATATTAATGTGAAAGTCTGGATAGCGTGAAAGGATTTATTGATCTGAGCAGCTCTTACACTTTTTCTGGTCTCCAGAAAATTGAGGATCCCAAAGAACTTTTGTTTACATGGGTTATACCTATAAATAACTGTAGTAGAAATTTATAAAATATTTGTGTGTTCATTTAAGAATGACAGCAGCTATTGCATGTTCATAACTATGAAAAATAACTTTAAAAGTGAACATTGTCATTTTACAGTTTTGCAAATCTTTTCAGTATCTGGGCTTAATAGTGCATAGATCTATATTTGACTTACTGTGTTATGTTTGGTGGAGGTATGTGAACACAATCTCAAGTCAAAAATACATGAAAGGGGAGGGGTCCTTAGGGATAAACAGACACCCCCAAAAGGTCTTGTATTCCCAGGAATCCTCAGACCACATTTTGAGAATAATTGGTTTATATGAAGTATTTTATAAGGTTTCTTATGATTCAGATTGATTATAATACTGATTAGTCTTGGGTTTTATAGTTTTTACCATTTTGCTGTTTGTATTTTTGCTGCTTTATAAATACGGGTAATTTAGACTAATTCCTGGGAATGGTTTGAAATGTTAACTTGAAGGATTTATAATAATTGATTTAAAGTTATCAGAAATAAAGGGATTCTCTTGTCTGTTTTCTTACCTTATGATTCAGAATGCTTTTAGACATCTAGATTGTTTTCCTGCTTGTAAGGTTAATAGAAATTATGATGTGTTTTAAAACTTAAATATGGACTGTGTTCTAGTCATTTCTGTTTCACTGTTGGAAGGTTTTTATTTAAAAGGTATATATCATGAAGACAAATTGGAAGTTATTATTAATTTGCTGTATGGAAAAATGCATGGAAACATTTATGTAGATAATCATTTAACCTCACTATGACAGGCTGATAAACCAAGAGGCTTTGCCAGAGGTCTTGATCCTGAACGAATAATTGGTGCCACAGACAGCAGTGGAGAGTTAATGTTTCTCATGAAATGGTAAGTATGTAGGTGATTGCTGTTATAAAGTACAAATAGATGGGCTTTCTTTTCTTTTCTTTTTTTTTAAGAGAGAGAGAACGAGAAGAAGGGAGAGAGACCATTTGTTTTTCCATTTATTTATGCATTCTTTACTGGTTGATTCTTATATGTGCCTTGACCAGGGATGGAACCTGCAACCTTGCCATAATGGGACGATGCTCTAACCAACTGAGATAACTGGCCAGGGCAATGGGCTTTTTTTTTTTTTTTTTTTTTTTTTTTTTGTGAGGCTTTCTCTAAGAAAGGTTTTATAAATAATTTCCATCATTAGATAGAGAACAATTATCTGCTGAAAGGATGATTCTAGTTACTTTTGCTAATGATATTTCAAAGCAAAGATTGGCAAATAGGCCTTTTAATGTTTTTATTGGGTTTTTAGACTGAGAGGAAGGGAGAGATAGAAATATTGGTGTAGCCCTGGCAGGTTTGGCTCAGCGGTTAGAGCATTGGCCTGCGGTCCCGAGAGACCCGGGTTCGGTTCCTGCTAAGGGCACATACCTTGGTTGCAGTTTGTCCCCAGCCCTGGTTGGTCGTGTGGGTGGCAGCCACTCGATGTGTCCCTTTCACGTCGATGTTTCTCTCTCTCTCTCTCTCTTCCTCTCTCTCCCTCCCACTCTATCTGAACAAAAAATGGAAAAATGTCCTCGGGTGAGGATTAAATAAAAATAATAATAAAATAAAAATTTTGGTGTAAAAGAGAACCGATTGGCTGCCTCCTGCACACCCCTACTGGGGATCTAGCCTGCAACCTGGGCCTGTGCCCTGACCTGGAATGGAACCAGGACCTCTCAGTCCATGGCATAACTCTCAACCCACTGAGCCACACAGGCTGGGCAAACTGGCCTGTTTTGTAAAATGAAATTGTATTGGAACCCTGGCAGAAATACCACAACCCTCCTGAAGCATTAAATAACCTTTGATTAAATTATGATTTTTTTGGACAATTCACATTTGACAAAAAGGGTTTTAGACTTTTAACTGAATTTTTTTCTCCCACAACAGGAAAGATTCAGATGAGGCGGATTTGGTGCTGGCAAAAGAGGCAAATATGAAGTGTCCTCAAATTGTAATTGCTTTTTATGAAGAGAGACTAACTTGGCATTCTTGTCCAGAAGATGAAGCCCAATAATTATTTGCATTGCTTTTTATATATATTTATATATATATATAAAATCTGGATCTTGTTTGTTTTTTTTTCCGATTTATTAGTGTGAAGAAAGAACTACATTCTAATGAAAATCAAGTTTGATATGTTTGTTTTGAAGTAGTACTGGGGGAGTTGTTGGGGGGGGGTTGCATCTATAGCACTGGTTACTTTGAACAAAAGCTTTCTGTAGTTGCTTCCTTTATCGGAAAAGAACATTTGATACCATGGTGTATTTTATCCTCCGCATTAGAGAAAAGCTTTTCTGAATGTTGGGGGAAATCTCCATAGTCATTACTCAGTCAGAATTTGTGTTTAACTCATATATACCTAAGGATCATTGTGGGTTTTTTGTTTATGGGGGGTGAGGGGTCGGGGGTGTTGGTGTGTATACATATGTAAATGGTTTCCCTTTTTTTTTTTTTTTAACCAAAACAAAACAGCTTTTCACAACCATAGATAAGTTCCTGTTTCTGGGCTGCCATCATTTTCAGCAACCTAAGAAATAAATCACTTGAAGTTAGATTGAAATTTTTCCTGAAGCTTTAACCTTTGAAATTAGATAATTTATTAGTTCGGCAATTTAAATATAACATAAGCATTTTAAATTGGACTATTTCAAAGTAGCTATATCAGTATCCATATCTACAATCATAAATGCAAGTTTATTTGCAAAACCCCTGAAAGGAACATTTTATCACTACCAGCCTTCCCACTTGAATGAGAAAACTAGGCAAACTCGTGTTTTAATTAGGCAAGCAACATTTGTTTAAAGGTTTCACCTAGTAAACTATTCCTTCACAAGAAGTTGAAATCCCTGTGCTATATTGACTGAAAAGTTATGATCATGGAATGTGTAAGACTTAATTCGTGGAAACCTAATCAGATTGTTAGAGACCTTGGCAATTTAGGACCTGCTGGGATAAATGGGTGAAGAAATTTTTGTAATCTGAACTCGACCTGCATGTTTTCTCTTTACTCCAACTCATTCCTTACATGTAGGTTCAGTCTGAGTGTCTGGGTTACTGGTTCAGCAGAAGCCAGGAAAAAAATAGCTTTGTAGTAAACAGGATATGTTACCCAACTGTATATTGTTTACTTTATTGTAAATACTGGTGAACAGTGGTCAATAAAATAGTTTTATATTCCTTTATGTGATTAGATTTTTTCTTTATCTGATTGCCTTTGTAGTGAGAGTAGAAATGCCCAGAGACATGTGTTTCCACAAGAATGGTTGTTTTTGTGGGGAGATAAAAATTAGTTTCAAAATTAGAAATTTTAATGCTTTGAATAGTTTGTTGAAACTACCATCTGAGGAGAAACAGGTCTGATAGGACTGATCCAGTTGTGCTAGATCTATTTTATTGATCTTAGGAAGAGAGAGAAATAGAAACGGAGATGAGAGAGAACATCTACTGGCCTCCTCCTGCATGCCCACCACTGGGGATCGGGCCCATAACATGGGCATGTGCTCTGAACAGGAATTGAACCGGCGCCCTCTGGGTGCATGGGTCGACAACACTCAACCACTGAACCACACCGGCTGGGCTGAATTTCTATTTTGTAGACCTGAAACTAACAATGTTTATGTTGATTATACCTCAATTTTTAAAAAGGGGAAAAAAATCCCTCTTTACATTGTATTAGTTTCTTATTGGTGCTGTAAAAAAATCACCACAAACTTAATTGCTGTGTGATCTAAACAGTTCTAGAGGTCAGACGTCCAAAATCAGTCTCACTGGACTAAAGTCAAGGTAACGGCTGGTTTCTTCCAAGGAGGTTCAAATGGCAAAGTCTATTTTCCTTGTTTTTATAGAGGCCATTTGCATTCCCTGGTTTCTGTCCCTTTCCATCTTCAAACCATCAATGTGGCATAGTCTCTCAACGAGTTAACCTTGCCTCGGTATGCCTCAGTTATATAGATAAGTTGTGGATTTTGAAAAAGGTGAAATGTGTACATGTGAGGCATTTAGAGCAATGCCTTGTATTTAGTGATCAACATTTTATTTAAATTTCTTTTTTCTTTATTGAATAATTTTTTTTTTTTTTTGGAGAGGAAAGGAGAAGAAGAGAGAGATTGAAACATCGGTAAAAGCCCTGGCCGGTTTGGCTCCGTGTTTAGAGCATCAACCTGCGGTCCAGAGAGACCCGGGTTCTGTTCCCGCTAAGGGCACGTACCTTGTTTGCAGTTTGTCCCCAGCCCTGGTTGGGTCGTGCGGGAGGAAGCCACTCGATGTGTCCCTTTCACATAGATGTTTCTCTCTCCCCCTCCCACTCTTATCTGAATAAAAAATGGAAAAATGTCCTTGGGTGAGGATAAGAAAAAAAAGAAACATCTATGAGAGAGAACATCGATTGGCCACCTCCTGCATGTCCCCCACTGGGGATTGGACCCACAACCTGGGCATGTGCCCTGACCAGGAATTGAACCAGTGACCTGGTGCATGGGTCCGTGCTTAACCACTGAGCAACACTGGCTGGGCAAGATTTTATTTTTTATAAGCAAACGTTTATTTAAAAAGTCACTGATGTAGAAAAAATGAGCCAGCTGGGCTGTGTGAGCTCAGAAAACAAGTTAAAGGGACATAAAAGGCCCTTGAAGTTTGGGAGGAGGCAGAGAGACAGGCCTGGGGGATGGTGAAGGGGAAAGGCAAGTGTGCTCCAGAGAGAGAGCCGCCCAAAATATTTAATATAGGGGTGTTATGCAAAGGAATCCTTAGTGTCTTGTTTGTGGATTCCAAAGAAATAACCCAGGAAACTGACTGTGAGAGACATTTTTATTAGCTTAGGTGTGTGCTGGGGGTGGCCGGCAGGTGTAGTTTTAACACAACCCAAACTTTTGCAGTACCAGGGATACAGTTAACATAGGTTACAAAAATCAAAGCAAACAGCATGCAGGGTGTCTGTGTTGAAGTCAAAACACTGTTTCACATTCAGACTTAGTTTTTCCCTGACCAATGGGCTGACCAGGCTCCCAAGGTCTTAACAGTCCAATTACAGATGGCCTTTGGTATATTCCCATGGTGGGAGAGGGGGGATAGAACTTGGGAAGGGGCCCTGGTTCAGGGCACATACAGAAGGGAACCAGCTGATGTTTCTCTAAAAATCAAAAACATCCTGGGGTGAGGATTTAAAAAACAATTTAAAATTTTTATGTGGTCAACTCATTATTCTTTGTCTTCTAGGTTTTGTGTCTTATTAAAATATACATGTTATAGCCCAGCCAATGTGGTTCAGTTGGTTGAGCATTGTCCCATGCACCAGGAGGTCACCAGTTTGATTCCCAGTCGGGGCACATACCCAGGTTGCTGGCTAGATCCCGCAAATGCTGAAGTCCAATTGTATGCATTGATCTACACTATTTTATATAGGGGAATTGAACATCTGCAGATTTTGGTGTGCTTGAATAAACTCCCTGTGAATACCAAGAAACAAGTTTTGTGGGAATCAAAAGTTATATGTGGGTTTTTGACTGCATGGTGGGGAGAGGGTGTCAGCGCCCCACCCCTCCTTTGTTCAAGGGTCAACTGTACTTGATATTTCTACAATACATATTACATAATCTGGCTGAAAGTAGGAGATGGACAGCTCAAACTTGCTTTGCTAAGGGAAATTACTGGCCAAGAGACAAAACAGTGGTTCAGGGCACTGGCTCTGAAGTTTGACCCCATGGGTTTGAATCCAAGCTCAACAATTTTTCCACCCTCTCTTTTTTCCAGTTCAGCTAATTGTTGTAGTTACTGTTTTTGGTTTTTGTTTGTTTTCTTTATTGATTGGAGATGGAGAGAGGGAAAGGAACATCGATGAGAGAGAACATCTATTGGCCACCTCCTGCATGCCCCCCACTGGGGATTTGGCCCACAACCTGGGCATGTGCCCTAACCAGAAATTGAACCAGCAGCCTCTTGGTACATGGGGTTGACACTCAACCACTGAGCCACACCGGCTGGGCTAATTATTGTAGTTACTTAATCTCCCTATGCCTCAATGTTCTCATCTATAAAACTGGGAGAATGACAGTGGTTTTATCTCAGGGATTTTGGGGGTTAAATGAGAAACATGAAAAACACCTAGAGGTGAATGTCTGGTACTTAATAAGGACCAGGCAAATACTAGACCCAATCTCCACTGTAAGCCTCAGGATAACAGGAACCGTGGATTGAGACAAACCCAACACTTGCCATCCCTGGTTGGTGGCTCTTTCCTCTGGAACCTATCCCATAAGAAGTGCTGTGGAGCCCTGGCTGGGTAGCTCAGTTGGTTAGAGCATCCTCCCAATATGCCAAAGTTGCAGTCTTGATATCTGGTCAGGGCACATACAAGAAGCAACCAATGTATGCATAAATAAGTAGAACAAATTGATGTGTCTTTCTCCCCCTCTCTAAAATTAAAACAAAATAACAGCTAAGGAAATTGAAGATGTAATCAGTAAACTGTCGGCAAACAAAAGCCCGGGCTTCACATGGGAATTTTACTGAATATTCACAGAAGAACTAACACCCATTCTCAAACTATTCCAAAAAATTCAAGAAGACGACTTCCAAACTTTTTATGAGGCAAGCATAATTCTAATTCCAAAACCATATAAAGACTACAAAGAAAGAAAACTACAGGCCATTATCCCTGATGAGCACAGATGCCAAAATCCTTAACAAAATATTAGCAAATCGGATCCAGCAATACATTAAAGAAATTCACCATGACCAAGTGGGGTTCATCCCAGGGATGCAAGGCTAGTACAATATTCACAAATCAATAAATGTGATACACCACATAAACAAAATGAAAGATAAAAACCATATAATCATATCAATAGATGATTAAAAAGCAATTGACAAAATTCAGCACCCATTTCTGATAAAAACACTCAGTAATGTGAGAATAGAGGGACCATGTTCCAACATGATAAAGGCCATATATGAGAAACCTACAGTCAACAACATACTCAATGGCCAAAAACTAAAAGCATTTTCTTTAAGAACAAGAACAAGACAGGGATGCCCACATTTGCCACTCTTATTTAACATAGTACTGGAAGTCTTAGCCACAACAATTAGACAAGAAGAAAAAAGGGATCCAAATCAGAAAGAAGAAAGTGGAACTGTCACTATTCACTGATGACATGATATTGTACATAGAAAATCCTAAAGACTCCATCAAAAATTTACTAGATTTAATAAATGAATTTGGCAAAGTAGCAGGATACAAAATTAACATCCAGAAATAAAATAAATGGCATTTTTTTTTTTTAATCCTCACCTGAGGACATTTTTGCATTTATCTCCAGATACAGCGAGAGGGAGAGAGGAAGAGAGAGACATCAAGTGGCTGCCACCCACACGACCCTAACCAGGGCCAGGGACAAACCAACCGACGTACGTGCCCTTAGCGGGAACCGAACCTGAGCCTCTCTGGTCTGCAGGCCGACACTCTAACCACTGAGCCAAACCGGCCAGGGCTAAATGGCATTCTTATACACCAATAATAAATACTCAGAAAGGGAAACAAATAAGCAAAAAATCCCATTTACCATTGCAACAAAAAATAAAATAAAATACCTAGGAATGAACTTAACCAAGGAGGTAAAAAGACTGTTCTCAGAAAACAACAGGACATTGAAAAAAGAAATAGAAAAAAATATTAAAAAGTGGAAACATATACCATGTTCATGGATTGGAAGAATCAACATCATTAAAATGTCCATACTACCAAAAGCAATCTACTGATTCAATGCAATTTGTATTAAAGTTCCAATGGCATACTTCACAGATCTAGAACAAATACTCCAAAAGTTTATATGGAACCATAAAAGACCCGGAATAGCCACAGCAATTTTGAAAAAGATGAACAAAGTGAGAGGGATCACAATACCAGATATCAAGTTATACTACAAAACCATTGTAATCAAAACAGCCTGGTACTGGCACAAGAACAGACATACAGATCAATGGAACAGAACAGAGAACCCAGGTATTGACCCAGAACAGAGAACCCGGGTATCAACCTAGGACAGTATGCACAACTAATATTCAACAAAGGAGGCAAGAGCATACAATGGAGAAAAGACAGTTTCTTAATAAATGGTGCTGGGGAAATTGGACAGCTGTATGTGAAAAAGTGAAACTAGACCACCAACTTACACCATACA